GCCCCTTCAGTGGGTCTATCTAAAAGACTCCCAAATTGTATAACTCTTATCTCTAAGCGGAAAAGAAAGTCCTTGAATCATGAATAGGAGATGTGAAGGAGAAGTAAAGGCAAGACTTATCAGCATTACAAATTCTAGACAGGGAACTAGAAAAAAGTCAGAATGGGGCAATTTTCAAATGTTCATATGAGAGTCCATTGGAATTCTTGACAAGGGCTTCCTAAAGCATCCCTCTATTGGGTTCCTCCTCATTTTTCCTTTTGTCTTCCAAGGCGGGACTTTAGAGTGATGGATTCAGGATTTGCTTTTAGGTATTTTGATAGCTCTTGGAGTCGTTAGAATCAGTGTCAGTCCCCTCTCAAAGCCTTGGAGATAACTGAGGGGTTGCTGAGGTGTATGTATGACCTGAGGTCATGCACACTGGATAGCCTTTACCAAGCATGGGTCATGCCTTTTCTTCCTAGCTTTCCACGGATTGTATACCTTAGGCCTCTCCAAATCCAGGAGGCCATGTGTGATTAGGGTCAAATTACATACTGGGAAAAGTAGCTGGATACTCAGGTGAGGGTTCAGTGACCTTTAAGCAGGTTTTTCTGAGGAACAGGCATAGACCTAGATATGGATGTGGATTCAGTTTGTCCCTGTGACTGTATCAGGGTCATAGCCTTCCCCCAAATTCTTCCAAATCTACACATAGCCAAAGATGCTAGATGAAGGAAAACTGAGGCCTTCCCCTGGCCATAACAGCTTTCATACAACCATCAGCAGATGATGATCAGAGCAGGAATGATGTTGATGAGCTTTTACAAATACTTTCAACGAATTATCCACAATTAGTTATTTAAAGCAAAACTGCCAAAGTTTTGCAGTGCTTACTGAACATCTTCCTCCTTAGAGCATTTTCCCCCTGAACTATAGAAAACAAACAATAACAAGGAAAAGTCTTGATATGTCCATGGTATAAAAGGCCCAGAATTGAAGAAGTTGCAGAATCTGGGAAACTCATCTGTGAGCAGGACCCTGCCCTCCACATCTGACACCATGACCACCTCCTGCTGCTCCCCTTGCTGCCAGCCCACCTGCTGCAGCACCACCTGCTGCAGAACCACCTGCTGGAAGCCAACCTGTGTGACCAGCTGCTGCCAGCCCTGCTGCTGTGAGCCCAGCTGCTCCCAGCCCAGGTGCTGTATCTCCAGCTGCTACCAACCCTGCTGCCAGCCCAGCTGCTGTGAGTCCCCCTGCCTCAAGCCCTGCTGTGAGCGCTTCTGCCTCAGGCTGAGCTGGCAGCCAGCTTGCTCTGACCTGTGACCTGCACCAGAACTTGCTACCACCCCTCATGTGTCTGTGTGCCTGGCTGCCTATCCCAAGGCTATGGGTCCAGCTGCTGTGAGCCCTGCAGCTGGTAATCAGCTTACCGTAGACCCACCATTGGCAAATGTGGAAGATAACCACACTACATCAAACGCATCACCTTTCTCTGCTAACAATACACACCTCATAATAATACGCATCTCCTAAAACTACCAGTCATCTTTTGTTAACAGATTTGTAACTTGCTCACTGAGTATGACTGAGTCCACTTTGATATTATTTCTTTGTATTTCTCTGTTTATAAACATCAACTGATCTTGACCTGGAGTTGTGATCTCATCCTTAACAAAGAGATGATTGCCTTTTTAACATAAGACACTTAAAAAAAAAAAAGGAAAACCCACTCATAACCATCTAGTTAGGATTTTATAATGATAAATATCCATCATTTTATGTGAGTGTGTTTACATTTTTTATGACTCATCTTGTGACTCTTTCATGACAACTTCATATTGTCTCCCTAGCTTTAAAAAAACATTGCGCATCAGTTTCCTAAAAACCTCTTCACTATATTATGCAGTATTTTATTTCTTTGATCATTTTGATATTCAAGTTATATTATGTAAGTCACATCAGAGTCCTAAACTTGGTATGTTAGTAGAATTTCAGAACTATGACCACAATGCCTGAAAGAACAACTTAATGGATGGAAGCCTTATTTCCGCTTACAGTACGTTGTTGCTTGGCCTCCTGCGCTTGGATTGAGCATCATGGTGGCAATAGCATCTTGAGGGGTTGTTTACAGCCATGGTGGACAGGGAGCTAGAGCAAGGAACATAAGGCCCTTATACAACCTTCAAAGGCAAAGGCCCATGACCTACTTCCTCCAGCTAAGTTCCGCCTCTTAAAGTTAATGAACCTACAAGGGGGTCAAGCACTCAGCACATGAGATCAGGAAGGGGATCTCATACTCAAAGACTTAGACAAGGCTGACAACAGTTTAGTGATTTGTGTTACGACAGAAAGCTAGAGAAGACAGAGTCAAGTCCGAGCCCCAGGCTATCTGACTCTAGAGTGAATCCAGCCACAGAGGCAGCTTAGTTCAAGTAGACATGATACTGCAAGCTGAGTCTTGCAAAAGTGTGTCCTTTGGATTCTTCTCTCATAAATACCAATCCTTCTCATTTTCAGATCACCTTTATTAACAAAGGTCTTTCCAATTAATCACCTACATACTGGTCAGCACCAGTCACACCTCAAGACCAGGAATGGTTTTGAGAGTCTTATTAAATGATATGAATCCTGTTGTCTCAGTTTCTGACTGGCAAATGGTGGACTCCTTCAAATATTTTTGATGAGCCAAGTGTTCTTGTTACCTTCCTGGAACGTTGATGACATGAGTTGCCCTAGAAATAGTCTGTTGATGCCGTGGAAATGGCATTGTTTATGTATTCCTTCTGGTCACTGATACAAATAGCTGTATGGGAGTAAATCATGCTCTGTGAAACACAGACCAAATTTCATTTGCACTAAAACTTTAAGAGATAATTTGTTTCCACGTCATCACATTAGTATATGGAAATAATGGAATGACAAATCCTTGGACTCAAGGTCACAAAGCAGTGACCTATCAGTCTTTGATTCTCTTTGATCTCTGGGCCACCTAAGTAGTAAACATAGCTACCTGAGTTATTGGTGGGAAAGCCAAATTAACAGAGAAAAATGAAAACCTGAGTTCTGGATCCAGGGAGACTTTGAGGAAAGGAGAGGGAGAGGAGCAGGTACTGTTGGAGACATGGTAGTTAGGAGTGTGGACCTGAAAGAAAAAAGGCCAGACTTTCTGGGAAGGAGAATAAACAATGGAGGACTTCATAATGTCATGGCTGCTACTGCTATGGGAAAAGGAGAATAGAAAAGAAATAAAGAAATGCCCAAGGACACCTCCTTGAGAACTGTAGAACTTTCCATCATACAAAGAGGATCAAGATACAGCAGATGTGTGGTCCTTTACCTTTATAAGGATCCTATGCCTACACCAGATACATGCAAATGACCCAGAACAATCTTCCCTCTTGAGATTGCTAATCACATCTGCAAAGTCCCTTTCGACCTGGAAGGTGACATATTCACAGATTAGTATCTGCACATCTTTTAGGGACTATTATTCTGAACATTGATATGTTCAGAACTAATTCGTTCATGGTGGGAAGAAATTAAGAATGATTAGTATTATGTGCTTTGTCCTCCCAAAATGGCATATATAAAAATATTCCCAGACTCACAAAGAGTATTTTTAAATAATAGAAGTTAAAAATATTAAGATTTCCAAGGCTATTTATAGAGGTCTTTGGTGGTTTGAATGAGAATGTCCCCCCCTAGGCTCCAAGTTTTGGACATTTTGTCCCCAGGTGGTGGTGCTGTTCTGGAAGGTCTTAGAAGGTCATGGCCATGCTGGAGGAAGCACATCACTGGGAATAGGATTAGAGAGTTCTTAAGCCTTCCTGGACCTCAGGTTGCTCACTTGCTTCCTTTGCCTGCTTGAAGATGTGAGAGCTTAGTTTCTGCTCCTCCTCTAGCATCTCTGCCACCATGCCTCCCCACCATGAAGGACTCTTGCCCCTTTGGAACCTCAAGCTCAAATAACCTCTGCCTTCTACAAGTTGCTTTGGTCAGTGTTTCTATTATAGCAACAGAAAAGTAACTAATACAAGGTCATTCTTTGTTGGTCGGTACCCTCTTATTATTGGAGTGTTCTGCAAGTTAATCTACTAATGCCCTGATGAACCTGTCTGAATCAAAGAAGTTATCATCTGGAAAATCTTTCCACCAGGCAACACAGAAACCTGAGAGCATCTGGAATTAGGTGCACTGCATTTGAGGAACCAACCACGCCTGTCCTTCTGACATTGCAATTTTATTAATGTAGTGAAGGTGATTTAATCATTAGCTTCATTTACACACATCAGTTTTTTCATGTTATAAGATTACAATGTCATTTTTCTTTTCTTAGAAAAACAGATCATTAAACAGAACCAAATAGATATTTGTCGTGAATCCTAGATGGTAAGTTGTAGACAAGATGCAATGTAGGAAAGAACTATTGACTTGGAATAAATACCAAAACTGAAAATTTTTAAATGGAAATGAAAAACATTTGGGAAAATTAATGATAATTAAGTAACTATATCTCAGAGCTTACAGAATACCATGAAGATGACATCTTGAGGGAAAACTGTCGTTTTTTCTATTTAAACTACAAAGGGTAGATTAAAAATAATGATTGTATCATATCCTATTATATGAGGAGGCTTCACTGGTGAGAGTTAAGGAATGTATTAGTATTCCTCTACCCTCTGTTCTGCTATGTTCCATGAGCCTTAGGTGTAGAGGTTCCACTGTAGATATCAGTTGTGGAACTCTGCAACAGCCTCTCTCTCTGTTGCAAAAAGAAGCTTCTTTGGTTAGTAGTGTACATTTGTCTGCAAATATAAGGATTCATATTTTGCATAAGGTAAGAAATTTCATTTGTCTAGAGATATGACAGAGATAGGGTTTTCTCTAGGACCTATTACCTCTCCAGCCATGTGTATTTGGCTGTATTTACAGTACCACCCATGAAGTCCCTCCAATTGAGATGGCTCCAGGTCCGATTAGATAGCCATTGATTACCCCACTAAATAGCAGTGCTACCACTGCACCAATGGAGGTCATTTGCTGTGCTAGTTGTTGTGGTTATTAGAGTTTAGATCTGGATTGAACCATTGATTGATTTTATTTCCCTTTGCATCTTGCATAGTATCGTCCTCTGGAACTATGAGAGCTAATCTTTAGGGAGAAGGCCTCCAGGTCTCTTCTTGCTCCATTGTTCCAAGTCCTGTGTCTGAAGTATGCCGTCTTCAGGTTCTGGGAGGTAACCAAGGGCTGTGTCAATAATCTGTGTTAGTTTTGGGGGGTGATCTCTTGGACTACTCTGACCAACCACTCTAAGGGAAGTTTCTCCTGTCTGGTGCTGTGTTCCTTGTTATATAGTCTTCAGATATACACATGCGCTACTGTTCAGATATTGTATGTGTATTTTTGTGGGGGTGAGTTAATACAGTCCCCTCTGGCTTTTCTATGCCACCTAAGCTTTATTTATATCTCCTCCCTCTCTTCTTGTTTATCATTCCTCATCTTCCCCCAGTTTAAGTGCCCCTTGACAATGCCTGCCTCTTATTCCCCCTCTTTTGAGTTCCTCCTTCCCGTTTACTTCCAGGGTTCTTTGCGTGTCCTTCCCCTCTTCTTTCCCATTTAAATATTCCCATTTTCTTGGAAGGCCACAACTGGTTAAATTTTAGAGAATAATAGACTGCAGAGTATATGTCCCTGGATAGGACTCCTATATTAAACCTCATCCACTGACGGATCAGGGACCATTGCAGAAGAGGGGGTAGAATGATTATAAGAGCCAGGATTGGTTCATGAGCATAAGGAAACAGAGACTTTCAGGCCGCTGGAAACTTGTTCATCTGAACTTGCAGCAATTCTGTCAAAGTGCACAAGACACATGCTGACTCAATCAGACAAAAAAACCCAACATGGGGGGGAGGGGTAGGCAGCAGGCCCCAACCCTAGTCAAAGAAATATTGGCAAATGACTGCTATGGGGTGAGGGAGAGTAGGTCTTCTTTAAGGAAGTAAGCCTAGATATGCTAACTAGACTCCAGTGGATGAACTTGCAGTGGACAGATGAATAGAAATGCTTGACCAGATAGGACTTAACATACATGACAGAATACCTGAAATGGGGGGGTGGCTATGGGGGTGTAGGCATTTAAATTTGATTAGGATGGATTATATAAAATGCACAAAAACTCAATAACATATTAAAAATGAAAAATAAGTAAAATTCCCCTAGCCAAAAACAAAATAAAGCAAAAAATGAATGTAATATTCAGCTTAAGAAGTTGGAGAATGAAACCAAATTAGCAAGAGCAACCGGGTGGAGACACATAGACAGTGAACTATGGAACTAAGCAACAAATGAAGGAGATCAACAAAATTCAAAGTCAGTGCATATTAAAATATTCTAAACCAAATATACTTCAGATAACACTGATCTTATAATAAACGAACAAATTTGGGTAATATTATGATTAAACAAAAAGCATCATATGTTTATATCTTTTCAGAGAATGTTCAGTAAATAAAGCTCAAAGTATGAACGTGAATGCCTATCACACCTCCCTTAGAAAAATATAATCCAAGTGAGTTAGAGCCTTAAAATTGATGCAAAAATTCAAACTCAACGAAGAAAATATAGATACATATCTTTTAGATCTTGAAGTGGAGAATTTTCCAAAAGGTGAAAAAGTTATCTCTGACAGATAAGATTGCCAAATTTGATTCTATTAACACATATAAGTGATTTTGATCAAAAACATTAATAAAAATATAAATTACAAACTAGAGGATGGTTTCAGTCAAGTACATACCAATAAAGAACTGGTCTCAAAGGAGGAAAATGCATGTGACTCTTGTTTTTAAAGAACAAGACATTAAATGAAAAAAATAGCAAGCGAAAATAACCAAGTAGAAATGTTATATTGAAATTATCATATATGTCTTGTTAACATTCAGGAAAATCAACTCAAAATCACAATGGAGGTCTCAACATACATTTATTGGATAAAATTATTTTGCTTCACATTTGGGAAAACAGGTTTGGTAAAAACTACACACAAAGCGATTGGTGGACAGAGGCAGAATGTACAGACACTGTTAGCTTCCTGTGGTCTATGTTAGTAAAACATACTCTGGAAACGGATGTCAGTAGTTATTGCTTAACATTTCAGGTTCTTGTTGGTTTTTTTTCTCAAGCATCTTATATTAATCTTGGCAAATAATGGTCCCTCACTATCTGTGGTTTCATCATCCATAAATCCAACCATTCATACATCAAAAATACTCAGAAAAATAAGGATATCTGGATACAACTTTTTAAAAATTTCATACAATGTATTTTTATCATTTCTTTGAGATTTTCATGCAATTGTACTTAATCATATTCTCCCCTTCCCCAACACCTCACCTCCCTATTCATGCTTCTCTTCCCCAGACTGAATCAAAATTTTATAACCTAAATAGTCTGCAGTGTAGAATCTTAACCTCCAGAACTCTATGGTAAGACCCTATTGCTGAAGATAACACACACCTGAGTCATAGAACATGGAGAAATCAAGCGGGTATGACCTGAAAGATTCACCCCTACTGGATAACTTTCATAGTGTTAGAAGCTGCTATCCATGCTACCAGGGAAGAAAACTAATTATCAGTCTTACTCAGCTCTACACCTGTGAGCTATGAAAACAACTGACCTGTCAAGATATTCCCACTAGTGCAAAAGTGGCATGAATGATATGGGAGTCTCCACCTACCTTCTGGTTGGATTGAAGGCCCACTCTACAAGGTAGAACCCACAACTGGCCCTATTGTTAGGACAAAGAACATGTGGCTAGAGAGTTCATAGGCCCTAGTGAAGACTCTATTACTGATATTCTACTTAATGGATATAGTATTAAAATTATTTCTGATGACTTACTGCTATACCCAGAGATTAGTGCATCATTCAACCCTCGTCAGAGAAGCTTCTTGGAACCAATCATCAATAGCATATGAGCGATATCTGCACTTGTATAAAAAATGAATAAGCGATTTTCATGAATTATACAGAAGTCTCTAGCCTATAGCTTCCAAGGTTACACTTCAGTTTTGTTAAAGATTATGAAATAAGTTAACATTCAGAATTGAGATGGATGTATTTTTAATGTATTTTGCTTCTTCTTTGAGCACTTCACAGATGTATACAATGCACTTTGATCATTTCCCCCACTTTTCCCTTCCAAGTCGCCTCAGAGTGCTCCTGCATCCCCCTCCCAACTTCATGTCCTCTTTTGCTAACCCACTGAGTATTGTTAGTTTTAATGTATATGTGTGTTTATGTATGTGCACACAGATGCAAATGTGTGCCACTACATGCATATACATGGTCAGAGGTCAGAGGACAAATTTTAGAAATTATTTCTTTCCTTCCACTATGGGGGTTCTGGGGAACAAACTCAAATCATCAGGTTTGGTGGCAATCTCTTAACTGCTGAGCCATCTCAGTCCTGGAGAAGGCACTTTTAATAAAGGCTTAGTTCTGCACTTGGTCAGGATGTCTCCTTTTTGGGGGTCTGTTTATTGTCCTTTTTGTCTCCCTACTTTTCTGACTGCTCAAATAGGGAACTAAATTCTAAATGAGAAAATACTAGTAAATTCACTAATGAGTCAATTGGTAAAAAGTAGAAAATCTGGGCGTGGTGGCACACACCTTTAGTCTCAGCACTCAGGAGGCAGAGGCGGGCTGATCTCTGTGAGTTCAAGGCCAGCCTGGTCTAAATAGTGAGTTCCAGGCCAGCTGGGGCTACAGGGAGACCCTGTCTCAAAAAGACCAAAAAAAAAGTAGAAAATCTTTAAAATATTTAAATGATTATCAATTTATTAGAGAACTATTGAGACAACAAAGAATTGTCAAGAAATATCTAAGAAAGGACATTAAAGAATTTGTGGTTGAAACTTAGAGCTCTCTCCTTCCCAAGGGCTTCCTTGACCCACAGTAGACAGGTGAGAAAAAGAGCCACTCATATGAGATCATTTGACTGACAGCAGAGTTGGCACAGTGAGTGAGTGAGGTAGGCTGCTTCCTTCACTGATGGCAGTGTAGTTAGATACCCACCTCAAGAGATCACGTTTCATATTACATACAAACCAATTCAGGAATACATGTTAAAGCTAAGAGTAGGGTGGGACCAGGCATAAGTGCAAAGTTATGGGTTCAGACCAGGGGCCCTTTGACAGATGAATGGATAAAGAAAAAATATATATACATGATAAATATTTATTTGGAGTATTATTTAGCTCTGAAGGAAAATTAAATTATTTCTTCTGCAGGAAAAGGAAAAATGAATAGACCCGGATCTTATAATATTAAGTGAAATAAGTAAGACTCAGAAAATCAAATATCACATTTTCTCTCCTGTGCAGAGATAGATTGTTTTAAAGGCATGAAAGAAGGAGGGGCACTATTGGTGGAGACAGGGACAAGTAAGATGAGGAAGAACAACATGAATGTGACAGGGAGGTGGATAGGATCAAGGCATATTATATACACATATGAAAATATGTTAATGAAACACTATTTTGAACAATTAATATGGGCTAATACAAATTTTTAGAAATATTCATCATTTATTAGTTTATTTTTATGTTTGAGTGTACTGCCTGCATGTATGTAAGTATATGTGCATTGTGCCATGCCCAAGGAAATCAGAAGAGGGCACTGGGTTCCCTGGAACTGGAGTTACAAACAGTTGTTAGCCACCATGTGGGTGCTGGGAACTGAACCCAGGTCCTCTGCAAGAATACCAAGTGCTCTTAACCCCTCAGTCACCTCTCCAGTTCCCACTAATACAAATTTTAAGTAAATGGTAAGTCAATGGCGTTTTGGGATAGAATATAAAATAATATCAAAGTTCATAAGATGGTAGTCAGGGAGCAGCTCACATATCTGTTAACTAAAAGATCATCAGCAATTTGATGATGGTGTGTGCATTATTTGTAGGAGCAGATTTGATCATGGAAGATTATTGTGGTAAGTTGCTTAACAGCTGCAGGGCTCACAGCAGCTGGACCCACAGCCTTGGGATAGGCAGCCAGGCACACAGACACATGAGGGGTGGTAGCAAGTTCTGGTGCAGGTCACAGGTCCAGAGCAAGCTGGCTGGCAGCTCAGCCTGAGGCAGAAGGGCTCACAGCAGGGCTTGAGGCAGGGGGACTCACAGCAGCTGGGCTGGCAGCAGGGTTGGTAGCAGCTGGAGATACAGCACCTGGGCTGGGGGCAGCTGGGCTCACAGCAGCTGGGCTCACAGCACCTGGGCTCACAGCAGCTGGGCTGGCAGCAGGGCTGGCAGCAGCTGGACACACAGCAGCTGGGCTGGCAGCAGGGAGTGCGGAAGCTGCTGGTCACACAGCTTGGTTGGAAGCTGGTCCTGCAGCAGGTAGTTTGACAGCCAGGCTGGCAGCAGCTGGACCCACAGCAGCTGGGCTGGCAGCAGCTGGTCACACAGGTTGGCTTCCAGCAGGTGGTCCTGCAGCAGGTGGTTCTGCAGCAGGTGGGCTGGCAGCAAGGGGAGCAGCAGGAGGTGGTCATGGTGTCAGGTGTGGAGGGCAGGGTCCTGTTCACAGGGGAGTTTCCCAGATTCTGACAATTGCTTTGATCCTGGGGCTTTTATACCTTGGGCCCCCCACATAAGAACCAATAAGCAGGGCTTTTCCTTGTGGTTTGTTTTCTATTGCTCATAAGGAAATTCACCCAGAAGGAAGTTGTTCCCTTAGTACAAATCTCTTGAAAATTGTGCTTTAAACAATTAATTGTTGACCATGTGCATAGTTTGTAATTAAGTCATTTCAGGGGCTGGAGAGATGGCTCAATACTTATGAACATCTGAAACCTAGGTTCAGTTTCCAGCACCGACATCTTGTAGCCCAGAACTACCTATAACTCCATCTTCAGGGGATCTGGCACCGTCTTCTGGCCTTTGCAGGCTTCTGCATTCACTTGAACCCCTAGGCACACTTATACACATAATTATTTAAACATGTATAAAATAAGTCTTAATTTTGAAAAGAAAGTAACTTAAGAATATGTAGGAGTGTCCCAGAGTTTCTGCTGTGTTGTATTGTCCTTTTCATTCAGTTCCAGGAATACTTTTAGTTCTTTCTTAATTTCTCTTTTGACTCATTCATCATTTAGGAGTGTGTTGTTTAATCTCCGTGTGTTCATATGGTGATTAGGGCTTCTTCCAGCGTTCACTGTGAGCTTTATTGCATTGTGGTCTGATAGAATACATGGAATTATTTCAATCTTTTTGAATTTGTTGAGGTTTGTTTTGTGGCCCCAAATATGGTGGATTTTGGAGAAGGTTCCATGGGGTGCTGAGTAGAAAGTATGTGGAGTGTGTTGTTTAATCTCCGTGTGTTCATATGGTGATTAGGGCTTCTTCCAGCGTTCACTGTGAGCTTTATTGCATTGTGGTCTGATAGAATACATGGAATTATTTCAATCTTTTTGAATTTGTTGAGGTTTGTTTTGTGGCCCCAAATATGGTGGATTTTGGAGAAGGTTCCATGGGGTGCTGAGTAGAAAGTATGTCCTTTGGTGCTTGGGTGGAATACTCAGTAGATGTCTGTTAAGTCCATGTTGGTTGTGCTCCAAATTGCTGTAACCACTGTGGAAATCAGTGTGCAGAACTCTTAAAACTCTAAGAACAAATCTTCCATATGATCCAATTATCCCACTCCTTGGCCTATACCCAAAGGACTCATCCTATTGCAGAGACACTTGCACACCCATGTTTGCTGCTGCTCTTTTCACGATAGCTAAGAGATAGAAGCAACCTAAGTGGCCCTCGATTGATGAGTGGATAATGAAAATGTGGTTCATTTATACAATGGAGTTTAACTCAGCAGTAAAGAAAGATGAAATCATGAAATTCACAGATAAATGGATGGAACTAGAAACTGTTATACTAAGTGAAGTAACGCAGACTCAGAAAAGAAGTTGACATACATTCTCCCTCATATGTGGATCCTAGAACCAAACCCTGATAAGTGAGTATGTATCCAGACATAACTACAGGAACCAGGATAATGGAAAGGAACCAGGGAGGTAAAGGAAAAGAAAGAATCTGAAAGAGAAGAACAGTAGGAAACAGGCCTTAATAAGGGAGATATGGATAAAAATTGGGTTAGTTTAAGGAAGGGGGAGGGAAGGGTATACAAGGAACCTAGGGGATAAAGGGAAAGAAGGAGCTCAAGAGAGGTAGGACCATAGGAGAAGAGTATTATTAAGGGAGAAAGGGGGAAATGGGGGCACTTTAAGTGGGAAAACCATGATGGAGGGGTGTGACAATCCAAGAGATAAATAATGCCTAGCTTGTTTTAAAAACCAGAGAGAACCATATTACTCCTACAACCTACTGACAAATTATACATATCAGATCAAGAAATATATGTCTAGGTAAGGTTTATTTTGAGAGTATTTGGTCTTTGCCCAAGATCTATCTACATGACATATGGTAATTAAAAGTACCAGCGTGGTGGAACTAACCTTCTTGGATGTTTAACAGCCATACTGTGAGGCCTATACTAATTTTGTTAGGGGGACATATAGGACAGTTTTTGCTCCTTGCCCTCCTAGGTTTACTAAATTCCAGGAGACTATGAGCATATCTCAAAATCTCCTGTAATTGTGGTAGGTCACCTGTTCTCTTGATCAATGAGGCCGAGGAGACCCCACCAGAAGGACTTGAACCAGTGTCCAGTCTACAAAGAGGAGGGTCAACACAGAGGAATCATTTCCTCAATGCT